GGGAACTACTTCGAGGGTGATGGATGAATTTAATACCTGAGATAAGTGTACGGGTTTTTATACGCGCAGTCTTGAAACCTTCCGATCGCACCTCGTAGTCGGCGCAGTAGTTTTTGGCCGGTGGAGAAGCTAGTGGAGCTGGCGGACGGGCCTACTCTGTGTACCTGAGGTGGCACGGTCAGTGCATTTCTTTTGTTTGGGCGTTCAATCCGATAAGTTCCTCGGTGCAGTTAGCATTATACTATCTCACAAGTGACTCGCTCCTAGCCTTCCCCTTGAAAATTCAACCGGCCAAAAACTACTGCGCCGACTATAAGTGACTCGCTCCGAGGTTCCAATTCACACAGTTCAGAGGCCAAAAACCCTGACGGCACCTTTATCAGTGAGATAATCTGTTTATAGGCATTTAACAAAATGTTGCATCATTATCTCTATTGCAGGCGTTTAAAATGTGCGTCGACACGAATTCAGTGTTGTGTCCCGCACACGGGAAAACCGTGCAAAGTACCTTGTAGGTTCGATAAGTTGGTCGAGCGGATTTGATGTGGTTATCGGTCGTCGGGTTGGAGTAATAGTTGCTGGAGAGTAGATTGGTACAAGAGATTTATTACTAATATATAAGTAACAAGTACAACAGGTTTCTGCTTAAGGCTGTAGCAGAGGCCGACTGCTGACTGAACGGAGTACCGTCGTCAAGACTAAACTTGTTACAGATCAGAGAGCGTTTTTAATGCTCTTGCTGCTATATATTAGGGTCGCTCATTAAGTAATGCCCCACATTTTTTTTCTCAGCCAATAATGAAGATAGAAAAGTGCACTTTTACATGCTTGAGATTTGATGTTTCCCGCGTTCGTGTACGGAGTTTCAAATGATTCCAACCGATAGCGGAGCTGTAGTGAACTGTTAAAATGGCGTCTGTGAACGACTCTCGTTACAAACAACGAGCTGTAATTGAATTCTTTGTTGCTGAAAAAGAAACGGTGGTGAACATTCATAAACGTTTGTGTGCTGTGTATGGAAGCTGTGCAGTCGATAGGAGCACCGTTGGTCGCTGGGCTAAGAGAGTTAAAGCTTCAGGAAGTG